ATATATATATATATATATATATATATATATATATATATATATATATATATATATATACATGTATATATATGTGTATATATGTGTTTATATGTATATATGTATATATATATATATATGTATATATATGTATGTATATATATATATATGTATATATATATATATATATATATATATATATATATATATATATATATATATATATATATATATATTCATAGATGTATATGTACATATAATTACATTTGTGTGTGTGTGTGTGTGTGTGTTTGTGTGTGTGTGTGTGTGTGTTTGTGTGTGTGTGTGTGTATTTGTGTGTGTGTGTGTGTGTGTGTGTGTGTGTGTGTGTGTGTGTGTGTGTGTGTGTGTGTGTGTGTGTGTGTGTGTGTGTCTTTGTGTGTGTGTATGTGTGTATGCATATATATATGTATGTATGTATAGATAGATACATGTATATATGTATGTATGTATATGTATATATATATATGTATATTTTATATATATATATATATATATATATATATATATATATATATATATATATATATATTTTATATATATATATTATATATTATATTATATTTTATATATATATATATATATATATATATATATATATATATATATATATATATATATATATATATATATATATATATATATATATATTTGTGTGTCTATATATATATATATATGTAGACAGATACATAGATACATAGATACATGAGAAGGCAATTATTCAGATATTAGATTATCTTTTATCTGTTTCAGGGAAGGAGAAACTTCATGCTTGATGCTGTACCAAATAACCACTGAAGGATGTCACAGAGGAGGAAGTTTCATCTGGAGAATAATGATGACTTGTTTTTATACAAACTGAAGATAATAACTTATATATTTTGAAGATTGATTACATATCCTGTGGAAAAAAAAATGTCAGAGATTTCAGTTTCAAGGAAGCCTAAGAATCATGTGTGTTCCTTCTGTCAAAAGAAATTTCTACACAAAACAGAGCTGAAAAAGCACCATCGATCTCACACTAAGGAGAAACCGTTTGTTTGCAAAGAGTGTGGTAAGGCTTTCTCCCTTATTGGTAACCTTAGCAGACATAAAGGCGTGCATAGCGGCTTGAAGCCCTTCGAATGTGCTGATTGCTTAAAGAGATTTTCAGAGAAAGGATCCCTCAAAAAGCATATAGCTATCCATACTGGTGAAGAACCTTATAAATGTACAATATGTGAAAAAAAGTTTACTCAGAAGGCACACTACAGGGCGCATATGTATCGGCATACGGATGAGAGGCCAGTGCAATGCTCTCTCTGCCCTAAAAGATTCAAAAGTGAAGAGAGATTATCCATGCATATGCAGACACACTGTCAAGAGCGACGATTTAAATGCCCTGATTGTGCCAAAGCCTTCAAGACAAAAGCATCTCTTACAAAGCATGCTCTCGTTCATAGTACTATATCATATAAATGTTCTCAATGTGAGAAAACATATAAAAGAAAAAGATCTCTAAAGCGTCATGTGAAGTTTCATGAAGAAGAAGTTCAGTTCCGTATGCGCGAGTCGTTTTTCGAAAAGCACGTTTTAGACCCTGCACCCCGTAATGTATCATTTAAATGTTCTCAGTGCGGGAAATCATATAAAAGAAAAAATTCTCTAATACGTCACATGAAGTGTCATGCAGAAAGAAAGTTTCAGTGCCATATTTGTGAGTCATCATTTTTGGAAAACAATGCTTTGGAAAAGCATGTTTTAGACCATGCAACTAAAAACTACCGGTGCACAGATTGTGGAAAATTATACTTAACCCAGCACACGCTCAGTAGACACCCTTGCATGTATGCGGTGAAAGCAATTGCATGTCAGAAATGCAATAAAACCTTTACAAGAAAATATGCAGCAAACAGACATGTTTGCAAAGAGAAGGGGGACAAGATAACTGACATAAAAAATAATTTGTTGACTCATAAGCAAGAAAAAGAGCAGGAAGACTCCAAAATTAGCGTAACTTGCAGTTCCATTAAAGAAAACAAGTTGGATTGCAAAAGTACTCATAATGCTGAAGATGATGGGATATCCACTGAGTGTCAGTACAATAATGATATTGTTTATGTGAAAATGGAGGAATTCATTTTACCAGATGATTATCAAGAAGACACTCCTATGGATGAACACAGTGCTACAGATCCAAAGGCTGACCCTCTCTGTAGTGATGTTAAGATAATGTTAAATACAGATACCAAAGATAAGAATACAAACATCTGTCCTGGAGACAAGGGGGTTCATCAGAGTAATATGATCGAGATTAGTGATAAAGTAATACCAAAAAGGGAACCTCCAGATTTGTGTATCAATGTTCATATAAAACAAGATGTTGAAAGTACTGATCCATTTGTTGATCATGATTTATAAGTGTGTGTGTGTATATATGTATATATTTATATAAGTATATATATATATATATTTACATAAACACACACACACACACACACACACA